GGGATCGAGTCCCGCATCAGGCTCCCTGCTCCTTGGGAGCCTGCTTCTCCCTCTGTTTCTCTCTCTCTCTCTCTCTGTCTATCATGAATAAATAAATAAAATCTTTAAAAAAAAAAAAAAAGAAAATCTTAGCTACCCCAATAGTATCAATATATTCTTTTTTTTTCTTTTATAGCTTAATTAATCTAGACTTCACTTTGGAGTTTAAAGTGAGATAAAATTCTTACTTTTTCCTAAAGTTAACCAGCTATCCTAATAATGTTTATTGACTAATCCATTTTTCCTCCATTGATTTGAAATGTGAATCTTATCATAGACTCAGCTATTATAGATAGTAGAGCCTAATTTGAGGCCTTTCATTTTGCTTGATTGATCTGTTTATCTACTCTGAGCCAGTTGCACACTGACTAAATTATTGCCATTTGATAAAGGTTTACAAATCTGGTGGTGCTTGCTCCCCATTATTCTTTTTCCTTTTCAAAGCTTTCTTGGTTATTCTTGTCCATTTCTTGTTCTAGATGATCTAAGATCCCTCTACTATCCAATCAGAACAGAAAATATAGTTGGAATTTCAATTAGACTTGCATTCAATTTATAGATTAATTTAGAGACTATTGACATCTTTACAATATTGAATCTTTACACTGGGAATGTGGTTTAACTCTCCATTATTTCTATCCTACTTTTATGCCTCTAAGAAAGTTTTATAGTTTTCTTCTAATAGGTATTTTAAAAAATCATTTCTCAGTTTTATTTTTATTGCTATGGTGAATGGGATCTTAACATTTTATTTTACAAGAATGCTCCATTAATTTTTTATATATTTATTTTGTGACCAGCCACCTTACCAAACTGTCCCGTTAAATCTAAGTTTTTCAGTTGATTCATTTGCTTTTAGTTACACAATTACATTGCCTGAGAGTAATGATGATTTTTGTCCCTCCTTTCCAGTACTTATATCTTTTATTTATGGTTCTTACAATATATTAGCTACATCTTCCACAACAATGCCAAATAATAGTGGTGATAGCAGACATCTTTATCTTATTTCTGACTTTAATGTGTCTAGTTGGTTACCAGTAAGTAAAATGTTGATCTCTGAAGTTCATATTCACTACTATATTAAAATATTCTTCTGTTTCAACTTCTTATGAGTCAAATACAAATGCTGAAATTTTATAAAATGCCTTTTTAGCATTTATCAAGGTAATAATATGATAGTCTAAGGAAAAGCATTTTACGTATTGTTGTGATGAGATTTCTTAACTCTATATCTTCTTATATTCATCTATGCATTTCTACTTGGTCAAGGCAAATTATTACTTTTTATGCATGTTATTTTTTTAATGTTATAATGATTTCTTCTTGTTTGCATTTTAGTCAAGATCCTTACATTTATATTGATCAATCTGTAGTTTTCTTTCTTTTATGAAGTTACTATCTTGTCTGTTTATATTGATAATGCTATTGTCTTAAAATAAAGAGGAAAATATATCCTCTTTCTCCTTGTCCTGAAATGGAATAAAACATGAAATTTTTAAAGGATTTACTAAAAATATCATCCAAGCCCAGGGCCTTTGCTGATGTCATAATTTAAAAACTTCTAATTTTTCTCATCTTGATTATTGGTGTGTTCAGGTTTTTCTATCTTTTCTGAAAACATTTTGTAAATTTGTATTTTTTTTACAAACTTGTCAATTTTAATGATATTTTAAAGGTTATTACCATAACTATATACTACTCTCTTACTTAAATTTTTTCATCTGTATATGTTTTTATACCCATTTTCTCATTCCTTCTTCTGTATATTTGTGGGTTTGTATTTTACTTGTTCCCTTTCATTTGTGTTTGGATTCTATTTTCAAACCCCTCCTTCCTCTGGGACCCCCTTTCTCCCTTATCCAGGCTCTGGTAGGGTTCTCATGCTAAAGCCATCTGTCTCTTCTCCCTCTTGACCAGGCACCCAGTGCTTCTGGGCAGAATTTATCTGCTCCAAATCTCTCACTGCAGAGTCTGACAGGCACCTGATAATATCCATAGTGATAAGTTTTTATTTTCTTACAAAAATATATTTGACTTGGGCCCATCCCTCAATTGGCTGTCTGGTGACTGGTTAATTCATCCAGTGAAGGTAGTGAGAGGGAATGAAAGAGCACACCACTGTAGTGGGATTTGGAAGCCCTGAGATAAGGCCTGACCTTATTTGTCCCCCCTAAGACCTGCCCCCAACTAGCTGTCTGACCTGATCTTCAGACCCAGCAAGATTTCCAGCCTATTTACCTTGAGCATTCTATGATTATCTATTATCCAATTACCCAATAAAATATTTGTGGTAGAGACCAGATTAATATGTTATTCTGTCTATATAACAGTTTCATTTTCACAGCTATTTTAGGGATTTTTTTTTAATCCAAAGCAGTGAAGAGCATGAGAATTTCTAGCATTCTTAAGAATTATTCAGCAAAGAGTTCTTTATAAAATTTGTTGGGTCCTTCAGGATCAGATCTACTCTGTTTTAGCATCCTAATAAAATAACCAATAGAAACTTGAACAATTGTTGGGAAAACTAAAGTCATGACAAGAAATGAAAATCACCAAATTGCCAAGCAAATAGTATGATAACATGTAATAACACTAAAGGTAATAGCACAACTCCAGCCTTATGTATTCATTTAATGTCATGGTTATAATTTCTCCCCATGGAGACCTTGAATTTCTTAATTCTATTCTTAAACTCTTGTCCTAGACAATAGCACTATTTTCAGGTAACATCTGACATTGGAATTCTAGTTGGAAATACACCCATCTTCTAGGAAGAATATCTCCTCCTAAGAAATGACCCCCCTCTAACTCCACACATTGGGTTCCTGCTATGAACCCATCTCTGCAACAGCAGTTCATTGATTGGTCCAGGAAGGAGCACATGACCAAAGCAAAACCAATGAATTTCTTCCCTTGATATTTGGACTTCAGACCAAGAGAGTAAGGGGACTTTTCCTGAGAGTGCTGAACTTTCTGAACATGTAAGCAGTGAAGCTCATGAGCCACCAGAGACCAAGAGTTCTGTCACATGGAGATTGGCTCATAGTAAGACAGGAAAAAGAAACCCATAAGCAGAGAGAAGTGGGGCAGCTGGAGAAAGCAATGGGACAAAACTCCATAGAGGAATACATCTGAGGGAGATTTGTAAACTACAGGGCTGCAAGAGAGGCGTCACTCTTAGACCAATGAAAATGACTGGCGTGTTGCCATAAATAGCAGAGCAAGACAGCCTACATTAAAGGTGGCTAATGAGACTTAATCAGGAACAGTTGCTATTAGAACCTGGGAGTTCTTTATATTAGGTATCAGTGTTTAGACTGAAGAAAGTGACCATTCAAACACGGATCCATACAGAACATAGAAGGATGTGGTGACAATAGAGCAAAGTCAAGATGAGGAAAGAGGGAATGAACATAGACAATGCTACCCTAAGCTAATGGTTTACAGTAATTTCTTTGTGCAGGACTCATGGTGAATACTCGGAGAGGAATGAATTGATTTTATATCATGTCATATTAACATAATAATGAACTCAATGTAAGTTTTATTTCATAGTGTAGGTTTAGTTATTCATAATCAATCACTTTAATAATCTTCATAAAGCTATAAATGAGTTAACCCAATAAGGTATAGTTATAGAGATCTGAATCTGAAAGATACCAAATGGCAATTCCAAACACATTCTGATGTCCAGAGTATGAAGAGCAGATAAACAGCCCTCCTACAAACAGCCATCCTATAAAAGGGTGGCTCACTCTTACCAAGATGTTCTCTGCATCATACAGATCCTTGACTCAGTAACTGCTCTCACCACTTATGTGTTTCTAACTCCTTGCCCTGCCTCCTCCCCCTGGGGCAACTTTCCTTCTACTGCCTACCATCCCACCTGGTGAAATTTTATCTATTTTTTAGATCCTACTCAAAATATCATCACTGTGATGCTTTCCTCTGCACCCCTTGCAGTCTGAGTAGCTCTGAATCTTGTAGTCTGGTGTGTCTGGGTAACTCCTACAGCATAGTCACAATTACATGCTTACATGTCTGTCTTTCCCAGCTATGTTGTAGTCATCTCTGTACTTCTTGAATCTAGCTTGCTGCCTGTACTACAGGGTTATTGAATGAATAAATCCCTCAGTGGAATATTACTCAGCCATCAGAAAGGATGAATACCTACCATTTACATCAACATAGATAGAATTGGAGGGGATTATGCTAAGTGAAATAAGTCAATCAGAGAAAGACAATTATCATATGGTTTCACTCATACGTGGAATATAAGAAATAGCACAGAGGATCATAGGGGAAGGGAGGGAAAGCTGAATAGGAAGAAATCAGAGACGGAGACAAACCATGAGAGACTCTTGACTCTGGGAAACAAACTGAGGGTTGCCAAAGGGCAGGTGGGTGGGGGATAGGGTACCTGCGTGATGGACATTAAAAGGGGCACGTGATATAATGAGCACTGGGTGTTATATGCAACTAATGAATCTACTGAACACTATATCAAAAACTAATGAGGTACTCTATGTTAGCTAATTGAATTTAAATTTTAAAAAAAGTTGCATTAAAAAAAAGAATGAATAAGTCCCTAATTACTGTGTGTCACAGTGGTTATAGTTTTTTAATTTGTGACCAAATAGACTTTTCTGCAATTTTATACGGACATGGCAATATGCCTGTATGTTCATTCTTGCTAGTCTGCTATCCATTTGCTATGTTCCTCTGCTCACAACTTAAAAAAAAAAAATAACAAAAATAACAAGTGTGTTCTTCTCTGCACAAAGGTATCTGTATCATACCCACACTCTAGGAGATTTAAAAAGGGGGAAAGAGTTTAATATTTTTTCTAACTCAGTTTTGTAGATATACTTCTAAGATTCAGTTATGAAATTATGAAAGGCAAGGTTTGAGACAAAAATATGGAAGCTTTGCTAAATTGCATAGATTTCTGATCATACCCAGCTTCAGTTTCTTGGCCAATGCATCAATTTGAATTGTGGGATCAGATCCCATGGACAAGAAACATATCAAAGGTGTCCGTGTATCACTTTCTTCCCAAGTTTTCTCCAGATTTAAGATAACTGGTTCTGTGTACTTCTCCTCCAAAGAATCTGCAATATACTTTCTTGCTTGAAAAACAGTACGGTCTGGACACCAAGACCTAGAAATGAATACAAGTTAGAGGGAAAAATTCAGTGTGTTCATTTTTTATTCTATTTAATTCTAAGCATGTAAAGAACATATTTAATTAGCAAAGGACAAAAAGGTAATCCTCCCTTTTGCAGGTCTGTGAAAGGATGGGAAGGTTTTCCAACCCTGGATGAATATAAATTTAATCATGTGGTTTTGGTATGAGGCACTGGCAAGAAATAGGGGAGAGCCGGTAACAACAGAGTCTGTTGCCAGTCCGGAAGGAAACTTAGAAGTCAGCTGATCCAATCATCTCATTTTCAGAAAGACCAATTACTCTGAAGCTTTAATTAGTTATTTTTTTAAATCACATCAATGATGGGGCGCCTGGGTAGCTCAGTTGGTTAAGTGTCTGACTCTTGATTTCGGCTCAGGTCATGATCTCAGGATTGTGAGGTCAAGCCCTGCATTGAGAATCTCTCTCTCCCTCTCCCTCTGC